TAGTAGTAGTAGTAGTAGTAGTATATCTCCTCCACTTAGGCAATCATCAACCACCATTCTCATCATTCCTCTCTTCCTCTCTTTTTTTCCTTCCTTCCTTTTTTTCTCTTTTTGTTTTCTTTACTTTTCTTTCTTTCTTTCTTTCTTTCTCTCTTTCTTTCCTTCTCACTCAATGCTACTTTTCACCTTCATTCTGTTCTGTTCCGATCTACTTGCGCTCAGGCTGACGATCGTAGAACTCGTTACGTGTCTTTACGTCAATCTTGTTGAGTAGAACCTTCGGGAATGTACGGAGAAGTTGCCAGCAGAGATCCAAACTCTGAAAGACATCACGGGATTCATAAAATCCTTGACAAATAAACTTCTTTTCAAACTTCTCGAGAAACTCCAAATGCAATAAATCCTCACTGCTTAATGCCTCTTCACCAACAACGGCCTTCATGGCTAAAATATCACGACTGATCGCATAGGCGGCATACATTTGATTGCTGACACCACCATGATCTTTACGGGTCATACCCTCACCAATAGCATTCTTCATCAAACGACTGAGTGAAGGTAAAATATTAATAGGTGGATACAACTGACGATTATGCAATTGACGATCCACGTAAATTTGTCCCTCCGTGATATATCCAGTGAGATCTGGAATAGGATGTGTAATATCATCATTTGGCATTGTTAGAATAGGAATCTGTGTAATTGATCCAGCACGGCCGAGCACACGACCCGCACGTTCATAAATAGACGCTAAATCCGTGTACATATAACCCGGGAAACCACGTCGTCCAGGCACCTCCTCACGAGCCGCAGAGACTTCTCGAAGGGCATCTGCATAGGAACTCATATCAGTGAGAATAACCAACACATGTTTGCCGCAATCGTAGGCGAGATACTCCGCCGTAGTAAGAGCGAGACGTGGAGTGACAATACGTTCAATAGTGGGATCATTTGCCAAGTTCATAAAGAGTACGGTCTTCTCCATAGATCCATTTTCCTCAAACTCCGTACGGAAGAAACGTGCGGTTTCCTGATTCACACCCATGGCAGCAAAGACAATACAAAAGTCTTCTTGTTTTCCCTCTTTTCGCACCAATCCCGCCTGTCGGACAATCTGCGCGGCGATCTCATTATGTGGAAGACCAGCACCAGAGAAAAGTGGAATCTTCTGACCGCGCGAAATAGACGTCATCACATCTATAGAGGAAATACCGGTTTGGATCATCTCCTCCGGGTAGACGCGGGCGCGTGGGTTAATAGGAATTCCCTGAATATCACGATACTGCTCTGGCAGCACCGGTGGGCCATTGTCGATGGGAATGCCCGATCCATTAAATACACGACCCAACATATCTTCACTCACGCCAAGCTCCATCACCTTTCCAGTGAACTCACACTTGGAGCGCATCACATCAATGCCGGATGTGCCCTCAAAGACCTGCACAACGGCTTTACTTCCATCCACCTCCAACACCTTTCCACGGCGCTGGGTGCCGTCGGCGAGTTCAATCTTCACAATCTCCGCAAAGGTGGGGAGTCGCACATCCTCTAATATCACCAGCGGGCCATTCACCGCGCGAATGGTGGTGTACTCCAAGTGGGGTTGAACGGTGTAGTCCTTCTGCAGCTCCTTAATGTGCTCCGCCAGCAGCTCCTGCTTGGAGAGCATACGAACATTCTCCGCCTCGTGATTACCCATATATATATATATATATATATATATATATATATATATATATATATATGT